AATATAGATAATAATTATAGTGACTCTACTTGTATTACCGGTATCTCATATTTTATCATCAATTTATCATATTTATGATAGTAAAGTAGTACTATTAATAAAGTAGTACTGTATTTTATTTGATTAACGTTCAATATAATCAATGTTGAGCTACAATTCAAAACTTTAAACATTTTCATTTCTTACAAGTTATACAATAACCTTTAAACCATTTTTATAAACTAACAAATAAATATTTTAATCGTTAGTATATTCAGACAATTAGGGTTATTAGTTGTCATTAACTTTTATTTGAGGTCCTTATAGGGCTCGGACCCCACGTTTGCGGCGAGATGTCCGCCATCGGCCACCAAAACACTTCCCGTTATGAATGAACTCTCATTTGATGCCAAATATAGCACAGCGTTTGCGATGTCCTCCCCCACAGCATACCGGCCCACGGGGTATAGTCTGGCAAATGCATCATAAAAAGCCTGGGCATCACCGTCCGAAACACCGGTTGCTTGCGGTAAATTGGTTTTTGTAGCACCGGGACTGATGAACATACATATTATTATTATTGATAATACCATATAATATCACTTAATTGATTACATACTTAACACTATTAACACGAATGCCTTTGTGTCCCAACTCTACGGCAATACATTTGGTGAACATATCCAGCGCTGACTTTGACATACAATATGCAGACATTAAAGGAGCCTTTCAAAGAAAATTAACATTTATTTAATAAAATTTATTTTTTAAAATAATACTTCAAAATAATTACTGTTTGAGTACTTCGGACGCTCGAAATGTTGACAATATTTCCTTTAGTTTTCTCCAAATGTTTGACACAAATATGCGACAGAAATACATACGAATCCAGATTTGTTTTTAAGACTTGTCTGAAATTATCTATATAACTGGTGTCGCTGATAACTGCAGCACCACTTGCCGACCCTGCACAGTTCACCAGAATATCTATTTTTCCAAACTCTTTGACTGTTGTGTCCACAAGTCTTATAAGATCTTCATCTCTGGTAACGTCTGCCACCACTTCCAGTGCTTTCAATCCCTTCGGAGACACATTGAGACACTGTTTGGCCACTTCTGACACTTTTGTGGCATTACGTCCCGTCACCACAACATTGGCACCCGATTTAGCAAATAGTATGGCAGTGGCCGCACCTATACCTGAACTGGATCCGGTCACCAGGGCGACTTTACCACTGAAGTCATATGATAGGGACATATTGTGTTTTTAATACTTAAGTGGTGTTTAAAGTAAAACAGAACTAATTATTTAAAGTTTAAATTTTCAAAATTTATTCGTAGGAACAGAACTAACTATTATTATACAAAATGAGCAAATGATGAACGATATTATCCCCAAGGAACTATTAATTACAGTAATATTGATATAGAATATTCAATACTAAACATAAGGTGTAATCAGCTTTTTAGGACTTTAATATATTCAGATAATACACTTGAATAGTGTCTGGGGATCTCAGATAACTCGTACATTATATAACCGTCAAAACCCAATGTCCCTGAAATCTGATTATACAATTCAAGAGTGACTATTGCTTTCATCGTTTGATTTATTAATTTTACTGTTATTAATTTTTCTAACCTTGATATCATGGTCAAATAAACTACTAGAAATCAGCACTCAATTCAAGCAAAATCATAATTTATGATTCATAAATATATTGTATATTAAATAATTTTATACTCAAAATAATATTTAAAATACAAATAACAAAAATAGCAATTTTATTTATTGTAAAAATAATAACTAAATAAAGGCCATTAATTAAAAAATTCAACTAAATATTTATTAAAGTCTACATAAAAATTATAACTTTGAATAAATGATCAATTTATTAATCATAATGCTATATAACTATTGCAATTGAGAAATGTTGACATTAGCGGCCAGATGTCCACCATCTGACACAAGACCTGTTCCCGTAATAAATGACGATTCATTGGACGCCAAATATAGCACAGTATTAGCTATATCCTGGGGCACACCATACCGGCCCACAGGATATAGTTTTGCGTAAATGTTGACATTATAAACATCAAAATCGTCGGTCAAATCTTTAGTAATTGTATCAATAGCTCCGGGACTATAAATTAGTAAAATATATAAACATTTATATATAAATATAATTTGATTACATACTTAACACTATTAACACGAATGCCTTTGTGTCCCAACTCTAAAGCACTACATTTGGTGAACATATCCAGCGCTGACTTTGACATACAATATGCCGAATATTGTTGTAACTGTTACATTGAAATGAGATTTTAAAAATATTAAATTTTAATATAAATTAAATTTCTTGAGTACCGTTTGAGTGCTTGAAACGGCGGATATGTTAACAATATTTCCTTTAGTTTTCTCCAAATGTTTGACACAAATATGTGTCAAAAATACCACAGAATCCAAGTTTATTTTACAAGTATTTTTAAATATATCCATATAATCAGTACTCCAAATAGGTGCAGATTCATCAGTGCCAACATTATTCACGAGAATATCTATTTTGCCAAATGTTTGGACAGTTGTGTCCACAAGTCTTACGAGATCTTCATCTCTGGTAACGTCTGCCACCACTTCCAGTGCTTTCAATCCTTTTGGAGACACATTGAGACACTGTTTGGCCACTTCTGACACTTTTGTGGCATTACGTCCCGTCACCACAACATTGGCACATCTTCATCTCTGGCAACGTCTGCCACCACTTCCAGTGCTTTCAATCCTTTTGGAGACACATTGAGACACTGTTTGGCCACTTCTGACACTTTTGTGGCATTACGTCCCGTCACCACAACATTGGCACCCGATTTGGCAAACAGTATGGCAGTGGCCGCACCTATGCCTGAACTGGACCCGGTCACTAGGGCTACCTTTCCCACAAAGTTATGGGTAAGAGACATCTTCAAAATAGCAAACTTTAATATGAGTTTTCATATATGTTTACCTAAACTTAAAAGATTTAAACTATTTTTCACAAAATATTTGCTGCATATGCGCTAAACAATTATTATCTCAAATTGAGATTCTCAATAGTCAGTTATCATAATACAGTACAATACCGTAATTCAATTCAATTCAATTTTATTTATAGAGTACTGGGTCATTTAATAACAGATGATGTTCTTAACAAATACTCTATATTTAAAAATTACAATTAAAATGTCATTAATTACTTGCCCTGACACGATACAAATAAATATTAAAATATTTTATTAAATCAAAATTTTTATGAAACTTAATTATGATTCAATTTTCTTAAGGACTGACATTAGCGGCGAGATGTCCGCCATCGGCCACCAAAACACTTCCCGTTATGAATGAACTCTCATTTGATGCCAAATATAGCACAGCGTTTGCGATGTCGTCTCCCACTCCATGTCGCCCTACAGGGTATAGTTTCCCAAATTTTTCATACCAGGGTATAACACCACTTTGACCAACTGTATCGTCACGACCAATGTCTGTTTTAACTGCCCCGGGACTTAACACATATAATTATTAATTAATAAAAACATAATGAGTTTTACATTTGATTACATACTTAACACTATTAACACGAATGCCTTTGTGTCCCAACTCTACAGCAATACATTTGGTGAACATATCCAGCGCTGCTTTTGACATACTGTATGCCGAATAACTTTTCCGCTATTTTGTAATATATTATTAAAACATTAGTTTATATTTTCAAATATTTTCAAATACAATGATAATTACTGTTTGAACACTACGATTACTCGATATATTAATGATATTTCCTTTAGTTATCTCCAAATGTTTGACACAAATATGTGTCAGAAATACCACAGAATCCAAGTTTGTCTGAAGTTGTTGTTTGTATCCATTCATATAATCCTTGTCCTCGAAACCCATTCTAACAGCCATTCCCGCGTTATTCACGAGAATATCTATTTTGCCAAATGTCTGGACAGTTGTGTCCACAAGCCTTATAAGATCTTCATCTCTGGTAACGTCTGCCACCACTTCCAGTGCTTTCAGTCCTTTTGGAGACACATTGAGACACTGTTTGGCCACTTCTGACACTTTTGTGGCATTACGTCCCGTCACCACAACATTGGCACCCGATTTGGCAAACAGTATGGCAGTGGCCGCACCTATACCTGAACTGGACCCGGTCACCAGGGCGACTTTACCACTAAAGTTATATGTAAGTGACATTATTTTACAAAGTGAATTCGCTAAAAATTGTGTTTTTATATTTGTTATATTGATATGTACTGTACTGAATGTTATGAAAAAAACTGTCAAGTATTAATAAATTGGTCATTTATTATCATTATATTACTAAACTATATCATACAAACTGTTATCAACACTTTTCTAAGTTACTAGATAACTCAAGCACGTGTTATTATTAAAGTTAACAGATTTTTTTGGGACTAACCTACCAATTCTTTTAATTATTTTCTAAATATTTTCTAAAACTTTGATGATACAGTATTAAGTTGCACAGTAATTGATATTTGAATGATTAGTAAAGTATATATGAGCCTTAAAGAACCAGATAGGCGCTAGCTATTTTTTATATATAAATAATTAGTAATATTTTACTTGTACTCTGATAAGTTATAGTTACTATCTTACCGTAAACCTATGAATATTTTATGAATAATTGGATTCTGAGTCAAATTATTAATTAAATAAAAATAGCTAGCGCCTATCTGGTTCTTTAAGGCTCATATCATGAAAGCTGTCCGCGAGTTCAGTCTACCGGACCCCTCAACTGGAGTTCCCTTTCTATTCCATTGCTTTCTAATGGATGTGATGGAGGAGTCGGTGGAAAGACTTCAGTACAATATGGAGCCATACACGCGATTACCGGAACCGATGGCCAGGGAGTGGTTCGGACAGATAGCCGGTGCCGTAGACTATCTACACAATGGTCTCCGGGAAAGGTATGGCATATGGATCAGTCATATGGCTATACG